CCAGCCTCGCACCGGACGTACCAGAACGAAGCACAACTCCAAGACCGCCTGTGGCTCCAGAGGCTAACAGCTCGTCTGGTTCCGCGCCCGCACCCGGACGGTTCAACCTGAAAAACAAACCTACCATCAACATCTACGAGGACCCTCCAGCCCAAACGAGACCTCTGCCGCTCACCAGCTCGCTAAGGAAAGCCAATATACCAACTCGTCCTTCTGCTGCTCCTCTGCCTAGTATCAATGTATCTGACTCAGCGCCTGCGTGTTCGAGGACGACACCAGCGCCGCCAGTTCCTTCTATTTCCGTGTCCGAGACCCCGTCGATTTCGGCCAGGAAGAACATGTTCAACCGTGGCCCCTACGTTCCGCCAACGAGTGCTACGCCGCCTATTCCCAGCATATCAGTCAGCGAGACTCCAACACCGAGACGAGGCTCTACAACACCTTCAATCTCTGTAACACCGGAAGTCCCTTCGATATCCGTTAGCGAATCACCGGCGCCAAACCGTGGATCAAGAGGCAACGCTCCACCAATTCCCAGCATCTCTGTGAGCGAGACGCCCGCGCTGAGAAGGGGAGCGACTGCACCATCTATCAACGTGACTCCTGACATTCCGACCATATCCGTCAATGAGACCCCAGCTCCGACTCGCGGACGCAACAGCAATGTACCTTCGATCAACGTCAACCCTTCAGTGCCTTCGATCAACGTCAACACACCCAAAGGCTTCGGCCCAGCCGCGTCAACACGACCACTGCCAGTTCCAAACGCCCAAAACAAGTCTCACAGCTACAACGGCACAGCCACCCCTCGCACCCACTGGACCCCAACCACCGTCCGCACCGGCGCTCTCTGCGCCCAATGCGCCCTCCCCATCGCCGGCCGCATCGTCTCCGCCTCTGGCGCGCGCTTCCACCCGGAATGCTTCGCCTGCTACCAATGCGGCGAGCACCTCGAATGTGTAGCCTTCTACCCAGAACCCTCCAACAAACACGCCGAACGCGTCTCGCGCATCCGCGCCCGCCTCTCCGGCGCCGACATCCCGTACCTGCCCTCGCACCCCACCGCAGACTCCATGGCGCGCCTCGAGCACGACGACGGCACAGACGAAACGCCCCGCTTCTACTGCCACCTCGATTTCCACGAGCTGTTTTCGCCCCGCTGCAAGAGCTGCAAGACACCTATTGAAGGCGAGGTTATTGTGGCTTGTGGCGCCGAGTGGCATGCGGGTCACTTTTTCTGTGCCCAGTGTGGCGATCCGTTTGATAGCAACACGCCGTTTGTAGAGAAGGATGGGTATGCTTGGTGTGTTAATTGTCATACGCATCGGTATAGTACGAAGTGTAAGGGGTGTAGGAAACCGGTTACCGATACGGTTGTCAAGGCACTGGGGGCGGAGTGGCATGTGGGGTGCTTTGTTTGCGTTGTAAGTCTTGCCGGTCTTGTTCTTAGTGTGAAGTGACGTTTTTGCTAACTTGTGTGATAGTGCTGCTCTGGTCCGTTTGAAGATGGGAGGTATTTCCTTCGCGGAGAGAGTCAGGATCCGGTTTGTGTTAGGTGTGAGGAGAGGAGGTTGAAGGCTTGATCCAGGCTGCATTACGTGCACATCTTTGCGTCTGCCGCTGCTGTTGTGTGTGACAATCTACTGTTGAGCGTGTTTGCATATTGTTCGCATACATTGGTGTTTTGGATAAAGAGAATGGCGCTGTCTGGGCGTTTTGGGTAGCATGAAGGTAGTTGGGGAGTCGTAATACGAGAATGATGTTTACAAGTCTTGTTAGAACTGGACATGCTGGGTGGGGTATGCATGAAATCGTGACTTTCGTGGAACGGGTCAACATCTCTGACACTTATCCAGTCTCAGTAACATACACAGTAGTCTCCTGTTATAATCGAAACTGGGGGCACACGTCGTGTTCTCACGGCTGCGTGACGTCATTGTGTTCACTCCGGGGAGGCAGGAGCCTAGCGCTGGTTGACCACCCGACTTTCTTCTTACAAACACCGACTTGCGCAGCTCTTCCAACACGGCAATAAGGTCACTAACTTCTATTATCACACATCAAATTGCTTATCATTGTGCGCGAAAACTTGGAAGGACGACCGTTGCATGATTGCATCTCCTCCCCGCACCTGCCATCCGGATGTCGCGACGCACATGGACGTCCCCACCAATCGAGCCGCGCTACCTTAGATGAAGGATATTTGCGCTAAGAAGCCATGGTATGGCGTAGCTACATTCGTATAGGCGTTACTCAGGCAATGCCCTGCCTTCGCAACGCTCACAAGCTGCGGTGCACCTTTCCGTAGATTCGCCTTCCAAGATGTATGGTATCGGAATAGGCGATACTGGGCTCTCTGTCATCGAAGAGTTCCCAATCCCGGTGGTGGCTGGCTGAGTAATAGTCACTTCGGCAGACTCCACGATAAGTACCTAGGTAGGCACTGAGGTAGGTATTGGACACATACGTGGCACGACATCAACGCCTAGAAGTCCAGACGAGCCTTTTGCGTGAATTTGTATAAACTCAACTGCTCATTTGCCAGATCTGCTTACAGCGTTGTGACTGACTGGGATTAGAACAGGAAAGAGGGGTAGTCGCAAGGCTCTGAGCTTATGATACGAAGAGTTGGTAACGCTGCTTTCTCATCTCTTCCCCTTTGTTTTCTTGCCTCCTAAATATCGGGAAGAAGTCGTTATCAGCGCCTTTTGTATCTTGAATACGAACGTACGATGGGCGGAGAACAGCCGCCTGCAAATCCGCCGATGAGGATATTTGTCCTTTGCGATGGAACAGGACAAGATGCGGTTAGAAACTGGGAACCTACGCAACATAAGAATGTTCATCGATTCAGGCAATGTGTGAAGAGCTCGAAATTCGTCAAACACATGTATCAAGCAGGAGTTGGGACACATGCGCCCGCAGATGCCAGTACAATGAGCCTCTCCAATATAAGCGACCTACGTTATCAGGCTACTGGAAGCGGTGAGTGAACCCAGAGTAGCGTTTCAAAGCCACAAAGTATGCGTCTGGTGCCAGCAAGTAATAGAGAATTGCAGATATCTATTCCATCATCCACAAGATGTACAACGAGCTCTGCGAAAACCATGAGAACAATCGAGACGCCGAGATTCACTTGCTCGGATTCTCAAGGGGCGCATTTGCGGTTCGTTGTCTGGCTTGCCTCATTGAAGACGTAGGATTGCTCGAAGAACCCTTCCGAACGAAGAACTTTGAACGTATCTACAATAACTGGGAATCACAGGACAAAGCCAAGATTGAGGAATGGAAGAAAGAAAGAAGCGAACAAGCTTTTTATCCTGTTACCATTGCAAGCTGTGGGGTCTGGGATACTGTATCCGCTCTTAGCTCCTCCTCCACCCTCTCATTCGTGAACGATAGGGTGCCTGCCAAAATGAGTTTTGCGTTCCAGGCGCTAGCTCTGCATGAGCGACGAAAAATATATAATCCGGTACTTTGGAAGCACATACCGAAACAGAAGACATGTATTCGCCAATCCTGGTTTGCTGGGGATCATTCCGACATTGGCGGCGGCTGGCCCGATTGTGGACTTGCAAACCTGACGTTGATCTGGATGTTGGCTCAGTATAAGAGATGTTTTCCTGATTTGATAATCAGTTGCAAAATTTTGTACAAACGTCTCTGTCCACCCGGAGCTGGATGGCCTTCACTGAGTTACACGTTAAGCCAAGGTGTGTGTGTGTCGTGGAGGTGCGCAGGCTAGGGGATTCAGTACTAATGTCTGTTTACAGGGAATGTAAATCACTCTTGGATTGGGGGCATATGGACCCAAGGATACAAAGCTCGAGAGCTCCTTCTCGGAAAAGACGCAGAAAATGGTGAGGATGAATCAGTCCAGCCGTGTCACCGACAGACGATACATTTCACTGCGCGCGTCTTTCTGGCTATGGGTCGGCAAGAGGTTACCGAACGCACTTGCCTACTCACGGCTGGCTATACCGAGACTATCACTCCCGATCAGTCATCCGTAGTCTGGGTACTGAAGAAGACAGGAAAAATGAAGCTGGAGAAGAAGGAAAGCGAGGGAAGTGAGAAAGACGACATGCAGAAGAAGGGAAAGGGTAGAAAAAACGAGGCAAAGAGAGTGACGAAGAGCAAGAGGATAAGTCAGAAAGAGGACGTAAGAAAGAAGAAGGAGAAGGAGAAGAATCTGCAGGATACCTTAACCATTGCAGAGGATGAAACGACAAAGTGGGAAAACGACATCATCTTCGAATGGACCAAGAAAGCGCAAAAGCTTGTCAAGAAAGAAGTCGGTAACCTTTTCAGGGAGGGCATTGCTTTCCATGGAATGACTTTCAAGCATCTCCTTCGTGGACACAAAGCATCCAGCAATAATTCTGGCATCACGGTCGAACAAATCATGTCTGAAAAGCCAGGTCGCACTGTCGAGCAGGCGTACAAGATCATCATCGATCAGGCGTGGGAAGTCAGCCTAGAACACTTCCTCCGTAAGAACCAAAATCAGGCAACTTGCGAAGCAGCATACAAGGTCCACTACCCTCCACCCAGAAACGTTGTCGTGAGATCTCGTAAAAGGAGCTCATCGGAAAAACCGCCGCGAAGGATACTTGGATCCGAGGAACGGGGAAAACGGCGAAGTCGATCATCCAACCCATCCAGAGACGTGACTTCATACAGCGGTCAAATCGTATACGGTAAAGCGCCTTAGGAAAGAACGCAGCTTGGGCGGTACTAGGTAGAAACAACGAGATCAATTCACGGAGGCCTTCATCCAAGACAAGAAGCTGAACAGGACTGCAGACTACATTAAGATAAAAACAGGCGAGGTAGGTGACCTAAAATTGATGTAGGCTCTAGGGTGATTAGGTAGACACGAGCATAAGAAGATAACGTCACGCAGCTAGGAGAACACAATATGTGCCCTCATTTCTCGAATATTATAAGAGTGTCAGGTGATTGTTATGCACAGTATTGTGACCAGATTAGCGTAAGAAATGTTAGGTAGTTCCACGGTTCGAGTTCACGTTATCTCGGTACTACCACTATACTTACATAGGAGTCATACACGTTTTTACCACGATATAAGTGCACACCATTCGTAGCCCAGCTTCTAGACCGCTACATCCATTTCAAGTTCCAACTCACAAACACGCAACTAGGCATGCCTTCATTAACGTCTTCGTCCAAACTAGCGAGTTCAAAACGGCTCAGGACTCTCAAAGCCCTTCGGAAAGAGCAGGAATCCCTCACTGGGTGCGTATCGTACACCAGGACGCGAATGAAGAAACTGGGCGAAGAAATCAACTTTGAACACATGAGCAGTGCAAAGTATTGGGAGAAAGCAATAGAATACGCCGTTTTGGGTCGGGACTTATCGTTATACCAGCTCCAGAGAGCTAGAGTCGACCATCGTATCGCTCGTAAAAGAAAGGAATTTGGGCCTGGAGTCAAATTCATGAGAACAGACAAGGCACGACTGTTCAACGAGAGTATGATGGCCTGGGGCTTAAAGGGAAAGATCTATGAGCGATGATGTGCTACTGCAGCAGAAGCAGTCGAGACTGAAAAGAGTACTAGACTGAAGTCGCTCATACCAGTTTATACACCACCCCCACCGCGGTCCGACGCCGAAGCCGCGTTCGCAGCGTACAACTTCCGGGCCGATACCATCGGAGATCAAGGCATGCAAGATCCGCGAGCAAAACTGTTAACGTACAGACTCCGCTACGAAGACTTCATGTGGGACATCTTCCAGGCCAGATACGATATGGAGTGTTGCTTCGCCCTCGTGCCCCTCTTCGCGGCCCAGAACAATGGAGAAGTGGATACTGCACTTTTTGGCACCTCCTCCTCTTCAAACAACGGCATACCCCTCCGTCTTAGAATTGCAAGGCAATTCGACACGGGGATGTCGGCTGTTGTACCTGACGTTTCCGATGCAAATTCTGCGGATGATGCGGCGAAGTGGATGTGTACAACACCGCGTGAGTACAAGGTTAAGAGCTATGATATTGAGACGCAGCATGAATCTGGATGCAAGATAGTGGATCTCTGCGCTTTGCGTTGGGCGGATCAGTCCAATCGGTAGTATCGTGAATTTGATGGGTGGAAGTTGACTTTTCCGAGTTGTGGAAGTCGAAACAGATCGGGGGAGTGTTATTTGTTCTTCCACTACTGTGTGCAGGTTTTAAGGCGGGCTTGGAAAGGCCTTCCAGCAGGGGAAGAGATGTTTGTTTCTGACTGGGGTGCCGTGGGGAAATACGTGGATAGAGAGCAGATGAGAGCTGTTATCGATGAGCTTGGATGTGAGTATGAGAGCCTGATGAGTTGTGCAGGAGAAGGCATTGGAAGTGGAGCAGGAGATCGGTATGTGTTACTTGAAGCGTTGGCTGAGCACGTTATTGTTAGTAATCAGAGGTACATGAGTAGAGATGAGTTGTATGGCGACGAGGAAGATGAGGGGAGTAGCGATGAAGACGATGATGACGGATATTACCCATGGATATCCGAGTGAGGAGTCGTTGTACCTAAAAGGCGATGGAAATGAGGAGGTTACTGTCCCACTAGACAGATCAAAATAACTTCACTGTACAATATACTCAATTTTCCATTCTCAATGGTACATCTAATAATACAAAAGGGCCTTTCAATCAATCCATCGCCCCGAGTCAAACAAAGCTATAAGCCGCAAGAAACCACGCTCAAAACCAAGCAAAAATACTCCATGCATGCAACCGTCTTTTCATGACCCACACCAATGCTTTCTTGCCAGAGAAAAACATCGTCCCGTCGACATGCCCCAACCCCACCCACTCCATATACCCTAATTATGCAAGAGATGGACCTGAGCCAGACTTGTTATGAAATGTCTAGTTGACGTGTTGCCCTTGATACCCAAAAACGCCGCAACGGTTGCTGAAAGAAAAACAGGGGATAGCAGGCAAAAGGAAACAGGGTGTAAAGGGTTGACGTAGCCTTGCTGAAACAAGAGGCCTATCCTTTTGGCCATGAGAGAAAGTGCAGAACCTCCGACCTGAAATTGCATTGGGTGCATCAGAGGCTCACTGACTGCTTCCATGATCATATCCGTTCGAACCATTTGTTACGTCAAGAATCCTATTCGGCGCCGGACTCGACTTCTTGACGGGCGGATCAAGGATGGTCGGACTGGAAAGCGGTTCCAGGCTCTTGACGGGCGGGAAGATAGGCGTCTCGGACATTTGATGGCTTGATACCGGGCGCATGGCGTCATGTTTTGAGGGCGCGGGAATGGGGTCTGGGAGCATCTGCGCGGGCATTTGGGACGATGGTGATGGAGCTATGCGCATTGGTGCTGGGGCCGGGGAGGACATGTTTGCTGGGAGGGGCGCGGGCGAACTGTGTTTGGTCGGGGAGAAGGAGGGGCGGTTGGCGGAGCTGGGTGGGAAGGAGGAGTGCGGGCTGTTGAAGTTGAAGCTTGGTGGTAGGCCGTTGGTTGGACGGGGGGAGGCGGCTGGTGAGTGCTTTACTGGTGAGCCGCCTGGGCCTGCTGCTGATGCTGGGCGACTGAAGCTCCGCACATACGGTGCTGCGGGTTGTGGTGGGCCGAATGGATTCGAGTTGAAGGGGTTGGGACCGCCGAAAGAGCTGCCGTTCTGCTGTGGCTGTGGCATGTGGAAGCTTTTTGTTGGGCTGCTCGGTATCCGTTCGAGGTTGTACGGTGGAGGTGACGATGTTGGACCGTTGCCAGTTCTGTGCCCAGGAGACGAGAAGTGAGATCGTATTGGCGATGACATGCTACCGTTCGCGCCCTTGGTGGGTGATCCATATGCGGCTTCCGATCTTTGTATGCCAGGTGGACCTAGAGCTTGACCACGGGGAGAGAGACTCGGGCCATCGACCCATGGCTGTGCGGGATGCATGGAGGGCTGGAAAGCTTGTGGTCGTGGTAGTTGTACTGCGTCAAACAAGTTCGTTGACATAGAGGGGCCGTTGCCATTTGCTTCTGCTTGGTTTCGTGGTGACTGAGATGTCAATCGTAGCTTGAGAGAAGGGAGTTTCGGCTCGTCCGCCTCTCCCTCTTTACGCTTGCAGGCAGTGCAAACAAACGTAAACTTCGAATCGTCGGCCTGTTCTTCTGTAATGTCATGGCACTTCATGTGTTGCCAGACATTGCACTTCTCACACGATATTTGTGGGGTGTTGTCGTTCTACTAAAGTCAGCGGAATGCATGGTCGATGTGCAGTAATACTCACCAGGTTGGAGCCGTAAGTGCCGCACTTCTCGCAGTCAAAGAACCAATCTTCCTCCTCGTTAAGCCTCTTGAGATCACTCTCATGCTTCTTCATCATGGCTTTCAGGTGTCGCTCCGATAGCCTGGCATTGTTTGAGGCCAGCTTCTGTTCGTTCTCGTGCAGTTTACGCAGCTCCTCTTCTTTCAGAATCTTTGCCGTCTCACGCTCCTTCAGCCGTTGCTCACGAGTCATCCTGCGAGAATCCTGTGCCTCCTCCATCTTCTTTTGCTTCTCTTGCTCCGCCTTGGCCATCGCAAGTTCTTCCTGCCTCTTACGTTCCGCAGCCTCGGCTTCTTCAACCTCCTTCTGTTTCTCGAGTCGCGACGAGATTCGGGACGAGCGCTTCGCTGTAGCAAGCTTCTGCATGTTCTCCAACTCCTTCATCTTGCGGGCCTGCTTCTTTGCTTGCTCCTCTGCCAGCCCCTCCATGACAGGCATAACGTCTTCCTGAAGGCGTTTGTATAGAACCTTTTCGTTTGGATCGCGACTCTTCCGGATGCTGCTCATGTATTCCTGGTAGTCTTCCAAGGTGACGCAAATGCACTCCCACTTCTTGCCGCCGAGACCGTCGTCAATCTCTTGAGGCTGTTGCTCTTCAGTTGCTTGCTCCTCCTCCTCAGCTTCTTCGGGTTCGGGAGTGGACGCCTTTTGTCGCTTGCTGGCTCTTGAACCTCTCGATTTCTTGGGCTTTGGTTTGGATTTGGCCTTGGCTTTCGTAGGTTCGGGAGGAGGTGGTGGATCGGTCATTCGGTACATGCGGTTGTCGTCGAGAACGAATAGCGATCGCTCTTGCGAGTCCCAGCCCGTGGGCTCCATACGCTGTGGCATGTTAGTCGTTGCCCTGCACCAATCCCAGTGATGCTTACCCATAGTGTCTGCTCGCTATCCGTCGCTCCAATCTTCTCTCTTATTGTGTTCGGGTTGTTGAGCGTCCATACGGAAAGTTGTTGCAAGACGCGTATTTTGGTGAAGACGTCGAAGTCGTGGAACTTGTTGGGCTCCTCTTCCTCGCCAAAGGGGTTTCGGGCGGGCGCTTTCGCGACATACTGTCGGCGGGTGTATTCATCGAAGATTTCGGGTCTACCATCATGTCAGTACTATCGAGACTATGCGCAATGGCCAGGTCTTACGTCAAGCCCTTGTGTGACGATACGTGCTTCAGCAGCGCTAGGCCAATTTGTGCGAGTTTGTCGGATGGCTGTGGTTGGAGACATTCGGATTCCAATTCCTGCACGTGTGTCAGCTCGTGGTCCTTGTAAAACATATGCGCGCCGGGCTGGGATGCCAGGCGCAAAGGGCATGTACCTCGATGTCAAAGTCCTTGTCGATTTTGACCGCGTCACCGAAGAGACTGATGTACTGGGCCAGATTTGCAAACTGCCACATGTTGCGCAGTTTTTGCAGTGTGCTGGGCTCTTCAACAGGCGCCTCGGCCTCCATTTCGTCGGCGGCGCGTTTTCGAGACGGCATGGCTGCGGTGCCTCGCGTGCGGCGACGCGTGTGAGTTACGTGTGGATATGGTGTAGAGGCCAGAAATGGTGGCTAGCAAATGCGCGTTGTGAGATGGCGATGGGTAATGCTGTCGTGGTGTCGGCGGGCTCGTGGGTAGGGCGATGATGCGAGTGCCGATGTCCCTTTTTGGTGATGTGAGTGATGAATGTCGCGCGTCGATTGTCGGCGAGTCCGGGGGAGGCCCAAAGCGGTAAGGCGCCATCGGCCCAGCCTTGCACATGCAATCTGGCAGAGACAGAACACTCATGACGATGACGAAGAACGCAGACAGCGGCTTTGCTTGTACTACACAGGCAGAGCTATCGCAATGGCAATGGCATATCGAGTGCATGGCATGAATGTAGCTGCTTACTAAGACCAGTCCCTATAAACCTTAATGCACCCGTCTTACAGGATATGCGCACTCCAAGAGTATCGGTCTTTCGTGACAGAATGGACAATTCGACCGGCCGTCGGTTGGGACTCCACCAAGCCACCGAAATTATCATCGTCACGGCCATGATGACAGGAGGTGACGATATAAGGCCGCGTGGCTCACGCAAGTGCACAAGCCACAGCTCCACCAAGTGTGGCTCATTGCCGGAGGATTCCACGCCAGGGGCCAGAGACGTTGCATGGTAAGCCGTCAGCAGTTTCGGATTCCTGGGTGGTGTTGGTTACTCATGCTGTATGGTGGTTCGCTTTGACTTGGAGAGCAAATGCCGTATAAATAATCGCATAACAGATTCATGTTCTTCGTAATGGCAC